AATGGGTTGGGGCGGCGCCAATGCTCCAACCTAGGCTCCTAGCGCCTAAACCTTATCAAAACGCCCCGCCACTTCTGCACATGGTCTGCCCTTGCGTACTGCTGCATATTTGACGGGGAAAACCTAAATTTCGCCAGAAATCCCGGAATTTGCCTTTAAGATGAAAGTATTGTGGGAGTTTATGTGCAGAAAACGTGGGTGGACCTCTGGTACCGTCCCGCCTGTGGGGTTCTGTAGAAGCATTCAACTAGGGAGAGGAAGAACGGACCATGTTGAGGGCAAACCCAGGTTGTATACTTGATTACACACTCATGATACCGCTACGCCATGCCTGCGGTATGACCTAAAGAGTCTTAAATGTGCTCCAAGAAAGGTGAATAAATTGAACTACCATTTCACCAGTCAGATGCTAAGTCGTATACGGATCCTGCCAGGTCAACTAAGCATTCCACCCCTCCAGTTTTTTAGTTGTAGTCAAACTTGAAGCTGGAGTCTACAGGACGGGGCAAAATTGCTAGTGCCCAAATAAATATTTTGGACTCTCTATATTCTTATTGTAGACAGACATTCACGTCACATTCTCTCATGATATGTTGTCTGAACATACTGCAATTGGAACGCACTGATTGCAAAGTGGTTCGGCTTTTTGCTCTAAGAATCGCTACCATCAAACACCAACGCGAAGCTAAAGAAACACGTCTTTGTTGATTTCTCAGTTTTTCAAACATTGTTCAAACAGCTTCAAACCCGCTATTTGTTCCATAACATGTGAATGTTGCAGATTGGCTGCCCCCAAATATTCTTAGCATTCGCTCCCTGCTCTTTTGGATCCATTGGGACTATTCGCTGACCCCTTCTTGCTGGGCTGCTTCCGGCTACGTTTATCCATATATTCATTCCTAGCTCAGCACGCACTCAATGTCTTCGTAAGTACCCCCGAGATCAAGGAGGTGCCTCTTATTCTCACATGTACACATCATAGAGGCCCCTGCACCGGTCGCCGCTGTTGCATCTTCGGCAGTGGGATTTATCTCCAGGGCTTTAGCAACTTGCTTCGCGTCTCTTTTAGTCCCCAATTTTTTTCGATCAGTCGCAACGGTTGACTTGTAACGGGTCAGCTTTAGTTCTTTTCCTTAAGCTGACGCGGACGTTACTTGATATTCTAACATCATCTTGTGCCATCCCAGGTCCCATTTGTCCATTATTTCTCCACTATTATGATTGATCTGCGTAAATAAAACCATAAGTAAAGGTCATAAGTAATGCCTTTACTTCGGGGAGGGGTTAATTACAAAGGCTACTGCTTCAAACCGTGATCGCGCGTGCCGAGGAGGCCAGCATACCCGACTTCGTCAAATTGACGAATGGATCTTCGCAATTGCGTATTTGGCCGGACATAATTGTAAGTATATGCTGTCTTGGCGAGAGAAAGTCTGCTCCATCTCACAAGATACCAAACGAACTCTGTCGTAACGAACAACTTTTGTAACTGGGACAAAAGTCACCTGAAAATACCTGCGTACGGCATGCGATGCGTTGTAAAATGGTCTGAAGAACTGTGTGAAGAAACTGAAACTATGCGATCATTTTGGTACAATTTAGAGTGTCATCTTTTCTACAGATGATATTCCTGGTCACAACTGACTGCAAATGAAATATTGGATTAAAAGGATAAAGCATTTGCCGTTGATCAATCCCTTTTGGGATGCGGCACGCATTCTACTTCCATTTGTACATTCGCAGTGGCGTTTGAATGCGATGTGGCCTATACAATGACTTGCGGGGGCCAGCCGATGTTCAAGTCAGTGTTTTTTATCCTCCCAGACAAGTCTGGTACCAATTAACCGACCCCGGAGGGATGGAAGGCTTGGTTGGCCCGGGCGACTCACGACCCAGGATTTGATCCCCGGACCGCTCGCGTGGTAAGCGCGCCACTTGTCACTACACCACTTCCGCCCTAAGAAAACAAATATGGTGTATTCAGTAAATTCCCCGAATCGTATAACTTCGTATTCTACATAGATGGCTGTAGAATGCGTGGAGTCATCTCGAAAACGTAAGTGTTTCGAAAGTGAAAAAAAACGACGAAACTTTTCTGTCAATCAAAATTCGCTTGTATCAGTGTTAAGCACTAGGATTTTCGTGCACGAACCTTGTGTGACCATCAATTATTCAGATGTTCCTGCCAATCCGGTAGTGGATCAACCTGTTTGTACAGAAAGGAAAGCAGTGATCAAATGGAAATCGGCAGAAGATCACGGCGACAACATCAAGAAGTACATTGTCGAAATGGAAACGGATTTTCGTAAGGTTGGTGTGGCTTTTCTCCAGTTTTTCTACTCTTGCTTTTTCAATTAATCTGTTAAGGGAGTTTGGGAACGTGTAGTAGAGGAAACGAACGTCGCCAGGGAGAACTTCGAAGCAGATGTCACCTTGACGCCTTGGGTAAGCTGCCTGCTTGCAAATACTCCGAAATGGAGATAAAGTAGAGCTGATTGTATTGGATTCTTCAGGTGAATTACACATTCCGAGTGATTGCTGAAAATTCACATGGCCGATCAGATATGAACATTGGTATCGATGACGAAGGTAAGTTAAATATTTCTCTCATTGAGTGAGGTCCACACAGACTTTCATGGACCTTCTTGAAAAACGTGTAGTGTTTGAAGGCGCTGTACAATGCAAGAGTGATTCGAATTCAGGTCTAATAACTACTTTAACCCCCTTTATACGAATTGCTTAAAGGACGAATTCACGATTAGAATGAAGGTGAAGAAGGAGTAATTCACCTAGTTGAGGGATCCGCGGACCTCCTAAGGGTGCTGACTGAAGCGCAATTGGCACCAAAAGAGTTGACTTCGGCGACAGGTTAAAGGAAGCGATTACGATAAGGAATTTTCGCATCGGGGGAGAACCTGCGCCACACGGAGCAATTACTTGGCTGCCAAGGAAGCGATGTGTGGTCCTCCCACGGCGAAAGGTGCTGTGGTTGCTGAGCAGGACCCGCGTGACGCCCCGCCCCCAGTGACGTGACGCCCACTGATTCACCGGTGGCTTGGGCGAGCTGCGTTGCCAGCCGCGGCGCGGTTAGGGCGCCATGCCTGCTGTTTGTGTTTGTCCTGTGCCAGCACGCGTTGCGTAATCTCGTACACGCGTGCGCGGTCTTCGCCGCACTCCATCTGAGAGCCGCAATCAACGGCTACAAAAGGGGTCCCATTTCTCGTTTCCTGAACGGATTTCGCTGCTTCTTTCGCCACTGACGTACCATTGAGGACCCCCTCGTCCCCTCTAAACCCCATTCAAACCTAAGCGTAACCGCTTGCCTTAAGGCTCAAATCTTGGCGCGGTGGGCCAGTGCACGCCCACCGACCAGCTGATCACTCGCCGCAGGTCTATACGTGGCGAGTGATTAGATAGGTGAGAGAGCGTAGTGTTGAAGAGGGCACAGCGATGAGAGTCGCATCAATGCTCGAATCAACGGGCAAGGAAGGGGTACCATTTCTCGGGTTCTGGGCCGTTTCTCATGGTTCTTCCTTCTTTCGTGTACCACTCACCATCCCTAGGTTAATTTGAAATGGGTTGCTTTTTCATCGTGAATTCGTCCTTTAAATTCCATAAAAATTAATGCTTTCAAAGCACAACAGCGCAGACTAAGACATTGAATGGCTTTCTCTGGTTCCCTACCACTTGTTCAAGCAACTTAGTCACCTTGCAAGACGCCTCAGGTATCTGGATAGAAAGCGGCGCCGTGACGCTTGCTGGAAATGCTAATCAATGCTTGATCCACTACCAATTTTTCTGTGAAGGGAACTTAGATGCTTTGAAAGCCTTTGGAGAAACATGCTTCACGTTTTCGTCAAGCGAAGCGTATTAATTGGGGCCGGTCTTTAATATGGTAGCCGGGGACACATCTCTCACGAATTTGGAAGCTTCGCTGCGGGAACGATCCACCGATACGTTGAGGTCCACGTCTGGCGTCATTTGCTCTTGGTGGAAAATTTGAATCTTACCGAGGCAACAAATACGACGGGTAAACAGGTTGCTCCCGACCGAGCAACAAAACGACGGTAAACAGGTGCCCCCAAAGTTCACTATGTCGCCATTCGTAGTTTTCGAACTGCTTTATATGTCTGGAAGGATTGTGGTCGTTAACCGCGAACGGAGATGGGTTGTGGCTTTGCTAACGCCACATATTTTTCTGGATCGAATGCAAGACGGAATGTATTCAATATGACAAAGCCTTTTATGCATGCGCAGCCACTTCAGTGACACCACACCTACCTGAAGGGCAAACATACTGGCGCATACATTGTTTGGCTCCGTGATCCAGTTCATAGGCTAAATGCGATTCAAGACGTCGCTGCAAACGAGAACTGATCGGAAGCCAAATTTAAATGAACTTGACACAGGTCGAGCGACTTACCATTTATTTTTTGTGGCTGCAGTCAATGAGCTTAGAAAGAATCAACGGCACCAGTCAATTTCGGGTTACAGGTAGTCTGAGGAAAGTCAGGCACGAATATGCTTCTGGAGATAGGAAGGCTCAGTTGTCCCTGGGTTCATCCCACTGCGGCGATCGTTTAGGTGCTGCGAGATGCCTTGAGCTGCACTACCATCCTATGTGTCTTCTATAGGGCTTTGAAACCTAAAAGGTTACCAAGTTGAAGATAAACATTTTTGTGTTTCAGATAAAATGACGACAGTCTCCTTGCCATACGCGGCCCTCGTTTCCGTACTCTAATCCGAAAGGTGTACGCGTTGAAGGGACAGAGCCGGACAATTTGGTCGTCTATTGGAAACCCATGGAAAAGTATTACTGGAATGCCCCTCACTTACAGTATCTTGTCAGGTAGCTTTCTTAAGACTATTGTCGACTGAGATATCATTTCAACTTTACATCATTCCTGATAAGCAGAGATAAGCTTTTTCTGCTCTATACAAGAACTGCTACTTACTCCAATGAGTACTTAGCTTCGGAGGGCACTGAATGATAAGAAGCTCTATGTCCGTCAAGACAAAATATGCTGTAACAGGGTATCTTTCCCGGGTTATAGTTATAAGAGATATGTTCAACTTGATTTCTAGAATTATGGCTATTCTTAGGTACAAATTGGACGAACCACATACGGCTTGGACTGAGTTTGTCGTTGAGGATCCAATGGCAGTGAGTATATTTTTCCGAACTCGCTTAA